TCTTAAAATATCCTGACAAGTCATGTATAACTTAAACAACCGAACGAAAATATAATTGGAAAGTAATGTCTAATTATAATACACATATATACTCCATCCGTTAAAAAATATAAGGCATTTTTAATCGAATCTCACCTCTCAATAAAGTAGTTACCTACTTTCGAACTAACTCTATCTTTTTATATTTACCCCTATTAAATATCATATAATAAATATAAAGTTATTATCAATATGGATACTTTTGAAAAAAAATAATTACACCTTAAAATATTAAAAATACCTTACATTGTTGAACATCCAACTCCTTAAAAAATGCCTTACATTTTTTAACAGAGGAAGTAAATTTTTAATCCACTTGACAATAATTCCGAAAATATATGTGCAAGTATTTATTTCTAAACAAATTATAAATTTTCAAAGAACGAACAACACATAACTAATCACATACGCACACTCCCATCACAACACATTAATAATAGTTACCTTATATTTTAAATAACAAGTTTTCCTTCATAACTCCTCTTTCACCACTCTCCTTATCAATACAATCTACATAATTATTTCATAAGACTATATTTTAATTTTACATTAAAATTAATAAATAACTTTAATTTAAAGAGTTAGAAAGTTTTAGGCTCAAGGCCCATATTAAATTAATTCAAAGTTAGTGCCTCCTTTTACTTTCCAAAATTCCTTCCTAAACTTTTTATACTCTAGTAAACTATATTTAAATCTCAAATCACTTCTAGCTAATCTCACAAATTTATCAATCCATATTCTAAAAATTGTCCAAAAATAAATTAAAAATTTAAAAAAAATTTCAAGCCTCAAATAATCATTCCACAGCCTTAGAATTATCAATTTATACTCAAGTAAATATTTAATAATTAAAAATTCATCCTCACATTTTAGATTCAACATAAACTCAATTATATAGGTTTAGGATTTAACTTAAAAGTTTTTAAATCTGAATTCTAACCTTAAAGAAATATTCTATACCATTTATTATAACTCCAACAATTTCAACATTCATTTTAAATTATTATGGTCTCATATTACTATCCAATAGAAAAACTTTAATCAGAAAATTTGCCCATTTTCTCAAAATAATGTGACGGTTAGACAGCTTTTGATAAGTAGAAAATATTTGTACAAAAGATTTGGAGAATGGGAGTCATGTTATACATCTAAACGAGCTAAAAAAGCCCAAACTCACCTGAAAATGGCGGACGAACGCGGACTGAAGAGGAGGAACGAAGACTATGCGGAAGGGTTACTTTGAAATATGAAAGGAAGTGTCACGTATTGCCTCCCCATTATCTTTCTCCCTGTTTTTTTAATATAATATATTGAACACACACACACACACACACACACACACACCACGTATTGCCTCCCCCATTATCTTTCTCTTTGTTTTTTTTAATATAATATATTGAACACACACACACAGAGCACGCAAATCTGTGCTTCACTTTCTCCTATTTTCTATTTTTTTAATACTTCTTATTTATTTTATTGTCTTTTTCTTCTCTCTTTTTATTTTATATTCTATTTAAATAAATAAAAGTTTTCATGCATATAATTAAAATTTAAATATATATAAAAAAATTTATTGTATATAATTGAAGACCCTTATTTTTAGCATTTTAAATTGACATATTGAAATTGAAGGATTTTATATTAAATGTTGACATGAAATTATTGATAAAAGACTTTGTGACATATTAATGGTGAAAGACCTTATTCAATTTTTTTTTCTTTTTTTAATGAATAAGGGCATTTTTCATTTAACTCTTAGCAATTATTGCCTGCAAAAAAGTTCAATATTAAATCTCTCCCAACTCCTTTTCAACAATTAATTTAATGGTGAAGTCTTTTATGACAATTTTTCCAAACTTCTTAGACTTGGTAAATGTTTTTAAATTTGTTAGGATACTTTGTTTAACTTTACTTTTATATTTTGTCATATTAAATGTTGACATGAAATTATTAATAATAAAAGACTTTGTGATATATTGACAACAAAAGACCTTGCTCTACTTTTTTTTTCTTTTCTTTTTTTTAATCAATAAAGGCTTTTTTATCATTTAGCTCTTAGTAATTATTGCTTGTGAAGAAGCTCAATACTAAATTCTCCCAACTCCTTTTCAACAATTAATTTGATGGTGAAGTCTTTTATGATAACTTTCCCAAACTTCTTAGACCTAGTAAATTTTTTTTTAAATTTTTTAGGATACTTTGTTTAACTTTACTTTTATATTTTGTCCTTTTTTTTTTTCCTCAAAGCAATTTTTCACATCACAATTTTACTATTCAATACTAGAATCTTCTACTTGCTCAAACAAAAAAAATACTAGAATCTTTCAAATTTAGTAAATTTGGCTATAATTTTATTTTGTTACTAAGCATGTCTCTAAAATTTACTGCCTTTTTCCATCTAGCCGTTACAAACAAAGTATTGAATTACCACTTGACATGATAATTCCATATATTTTGAATTACTTCATCGTTGTGGCTAACCTTAAATTTTATCACTTAATAGTTCTATTTGTTGTAGGTAATGTCCCCAACTTTCCCGTATGAGTTCATTTTAATACACTACAACATGAGAATTCGATTACTATTAACAGTTTGTCCTTCTTCCCCCCTCAAAGCAATTTTTCACATCACAATCTTACCGTTCAATGCTAGAATCTTCTAAATTTAGTAAATTTTGCTCTAATTTTATTTTGTTACTAAGCATGTCTCTAAAATTTATTCCCTTTCCCCATCCAACCATTACAAACAAGTGTTGAATTACCACTCAACGTGATAATTCCAAATATTTTGAATTACTTCATCGTCATGGCTAACCCTAAATTTTATCACTTAATAGTTCTATTTGTTGCAGGCACTGTCCCCAACTTTCTCGTACGAGTTCATTTTAATACACTACAACATGAGAATTCGATTACTATTAACAATTTGCCCTCCACCTGTTACAGGTTATGTATCAAGCTTTCACTACCACTTGCTTATGATAGATTTTCACCAAACTTTCTCATCACGTGATGATACCAGTCTACAGGTCAATTTGATCTCTTCATCTTTCTAATGGCATCTCACCAATAGCTCATTCCTTCTCCATGTTTCACGGGCATCTCCCAACAATTTTCTATCATGCCATCAATTTCTTGATCCTTTACTAAAAAAAACAAAAAAACTTGTTTATGAGGTAATGACAATTCTTTTTATTAGCTAGGACAGGAGCAACGAAAATGTATATTAATATATAAGTAGACTCAATGCACGTCTTAATCAAACTTTATAGCCATAAGTAGACTTAATGCCACGGCTTATGCACATGCAAAACAAAAGCTGATGTGCCATACCTTGTCCTAGGTGTGTTTTTGAGGGGTGTCTGGTAGTCCGGTGCAATGGACTAGACTAAAGTGTTAGTTTGAGCAATAGACTATAATTTGATCATCAAATATTGGTTTTAAACATGGGTTAAAGGATATTTTTGTCCTTACCCAAAAAATTATCAAGCATCCTAAATTTAATTATAGATTAATTTTGTCCCTCAATATTAAAATTTTGATTCGTGTGCCCCTAATGTTTTTTTTTTTTTCATTGCATGTGTTCTGTATTTGAATTTTTTTTAATATTTTTATTATAAAATATTCAACAGTGAATCCCATCATTTTTTTAATATTTTTTATAATTAAAAAAATATTATTGTCTCTCCCCCTCCTCTCCTAGCAATCACGTCCCATAACAGCTTCATCTTCCTCCCCCTTCTCTCTCTCCTCCCCACTTTCTCTCTCATCGAACCCATGTCTCCTAGACTCTCATCGAACCCATTCTTGTTGCACTCAAGCCTCCTCCTCTTCACCAACATCACTATCTTCTTCCCCGTCGAGTCACGCATAGCACAATAATTAGGGCCACCTTGTCATCATGGAGGGAGAAGGAGGACATAAAAGGAAACAGAGATGCTGGAGGAGAGATACTCCGAGCTTCAGGGCATCACCTACAACGTCATCATGACTAGAGATGCTCTAAGCTTCAAGCCATTAGCAACTATGGCCTTGAAATCCACCCCCTATTTGTCCGCACAAAGCTAGACACCGAAGGTTGATGGAAGCAATATTGATTTTTAAGACCCCCCATGGTGCAGCGGTGGGATTAGTGCACCATATAAGATGGCCAAATTGCAATGGCGAGGCCCTTCATGGACACGTAGACGGAGCTATCTCCAAAACCAAACACTTGGAAGATTAATAAGCAAGGAAACAAAGAGGTATACAAAGAGAGATATGAGGATCCAATGTGACGATGTGTGCGAGAAAATGGAAGGTTCAATGTTCTATGTTGCCTTGGCATGGACTACATGGAGTGGATGAGAGCGCAAAGGAGAAGGAGAAGGGGTATGGCGTGGACTACATGAGTTGGGGAGCAAGAACTAGTACAGTGAGTGAGAGCAGGAGAGAACCATCATGGCTGTTGCATAAGGCTATGAAGAATGAGAGAGAGAGATGGATGAAGATAGTTGACAGAGAGAAAGGCCAATGAGTGTGTGAGGAGAGAAGAAGATAAGAGGGAGGAGAGAGAATGTAGGGAGGAGGGAGAGAGAAGTGTGCAGGGGGAGAGAGAGAAGTGACGTGGACTCCCATGGGTCAAAAATATAAAAAATACAAGCGGGTGGGATCCATTAATGGTAGAAGAGGGAGATTTAACGTCAAGGGCATAGAGATTTGAATTTTAAATTTTGAGGGATAGAATTGATATATAGTTAAGTTTAGGTTGCCCAATAATCTTTTGAATAAAGTTGAAGAGTAAAAATAATCCTTAATCTTTTAAATATTTACTTTCAACAATTTGAAAACCAAAACTAAGAAAAGAAAAGAAAAGGCACTGCACATGGTGCCTCCTCACAGGTGAAACTGTAAGGGAGGATTTAAACAAAACTTGAGATTTGGGCAATTGAAAGGACAAGGCACTTCCCTCCTCTTCAATGAATGAAACTGTTCTATACCATCATTTCCATTATTTTGGTCAATGAGAGAACAAGATAAATATAGTTTGTGTTGCGAAACAGTAACACATGAGAAACAGAAAAGGGTAAGGAACTAAGTAAGTCGAGACACCAGAAATAAATTTCCCGTTCCCCCCTGCAACCAAAGGTGCTGTTATGTGATGAGAGTTTGGTCACCCAATCACCCCCCCCAGGGGAACTATGAATGAAAGTCATGTATTGTTGTTACTAAGTATGCATGCCCATGCTACGACTGGTTCTCCGAAAGAAAACTTGCCGGTTCACATTTTGCAATGTAGTTGAACTTGGATGAGCAGTACTTCCTATATACCCCTGTAAGCCTCCCTGTCCCTGCCTTCTGGTGGAACTCAACCATCATCCTTGAGCAATCTCTGCAGCAATGTGATGAACAAGAATAAGACAACCAGATCAGGCTACATGATAAGTGAATTGAATATATGAGTAAAATGTGCTTACAATAGCTGATCTTCTGAATAGTTGGTATGCCATTCACATGTCTTACTCCACTGTTTAAAGCCAAAAGTAGTACAGTGAGCCGCATAGACTGCAGCTGCAGCAAGCAATGATGGTGGGAACTTCAACATCTCATATTCCACAAGAGACAGCTCTATCAAGAAGAAAGCCGCTAGCTCAAGCTGTTTCATAGAGAGAAAATTCCAGTACGCAAGTTACCATCTATGATAATGCCAGTTATTACAAATCGCAATATAGAATAGTTTAGATTAATTAAGTGAGAATAGGAGTTTTCATTATTAGATTTTTCTATGGAATTTTTGGCATGAGAGTGATTCACAAACTCAGCGTTACACAAATGACTCTTTAAAAAGTTCATGCCCTCAGGAAATTGTATGAAATTTATTAGATAGATATATATATATATATATATATACTGTGCAGAAAATTGAGTACTGACTTTCTTGTCTGCTTCAGCTGCCTTCAGGAACCTCTTCATAAAAACATATGGTGTTGACACTGACACGTTAAACTGTAATGTGTTGAGAATCAACTTCTCCTGCAGTGTTTAGCAAGAAAGTCTAAGATTACTCGTGAAGTTGAGTGGTTCTTCTAAAAATGTAAAAGCTAAAGGTGTTATTGAAAATTACCATTTCTAGAACTTCCTTCCTTGTGTAAGCTTTGTCTGATATGAGGATCAGATCCCCTACTACTGGCACAGAAACTTCCTCATACTTGCATGCCAAAAGCATCGCAACCAAGCCAACTAGCTGCAGTTTCTTTCTCATCACGTTCTGCTTTTCCAAAAACCTATCTATGAGATTAATGGTAAGGAACAAAGTCTCTTGCATGAGGTCAAATTTATCGTGAACCTGAAACATCAAAACAAACTTTTCGTTATAACATAAAAACATAACCACTGGCAGCTATTTTTGAATTAAATCATGCCAACTATTACCATTTCAGGTATAGTGGTCAATTGGGAAGACATTTAGTATATACCTCAATAAGCCAGTCAATCAGTACAGCCCTCATCCTTTCATTAATGTCATCTTGCTGTGCCATATAATTTGGTGTGACGCAGCTAATACTCTGCATGTAACTACTATTTGTTAGTTATCAGCACTAGTTACCATCCTAGATTAACCACCACTCTACAATCAGTTTAAGCTTTCAAAAAATCAGCACAGAGTTCCACTTTAATTCATGATATCTTATGCGACTTCAATACAATGAATCAAACTCGCCCCTTCTAACATTCCAAATTAGTTCAAGAAGAACTGATTCTAAAAGTTGCCACCAGGTCAAGTTCTATACATGTATTAATGCTTGCAAGTTATGACAGTAAAAATAGCGTGGAAAAGCAATAATAGCGGGTAAAATCCAAAGAAAAGTCTCAGTTCTCCATGATTTCATTATTAGCCTCATACCTCAGTGCTTATTCAAGCACCAAACCGTGTCTGCGTGATCAACTAGACAGCAAGTTATAACTAGTGATAATGTCAAAAGATATCCACATTTTTGAAGCTCAGGCTGCATAGAAAATCAACCTGATATTCATAGATATGGAACTAATGACTTATAGTCCTATCAATTGCAACAGAGAGAGGATAGTACGCATTGCACTTAAAACTTGGTTCGACGGACAAATGGCATCTGCACATACCTCCGTTTTCCTGTAGTACTCGTGAAGTTCTTCAACATAATCTACAACTGCAAGAGGATTATTGGCATCACCAGAATCGATGTCCACAATAGGCTCTTCAGTTATATCTTCCATCTCAACTTCTTCCTAAGAAATCAAATAACGAAATTATGGCATCATCAATACATTAAAAGTTGAATCCAGCGGCGAAAAGAAATACATACCATCTGATCCACTTTATCATGTGTTAACTCTAATGACATGGGCACTGGCTGGTCTGATGGTGATTTGTGTTCATCGTCTATGAATATAACATCTCCAAATTGATTCCAATTTGAAATTAAAGTATTTGGCTTCTTATTTTCCTGTTCGTTTAAAACGAGCCCAAAGACTTAGCTCCAAACATAGACGGGGTCAACGAGTTTGCCTAGAGAGAGAAATAGAGGGTACCTCAGCGTGAGATTGTTGCGTGCTAGCAATCTGAGCAGCAAATCTCCTGAAATATAATCAAATCAGGATAAATCGATCAGATTCAAAATTTAAACGGAATATAAGTGCAATTGATATTGTTTAATCATCCCTCCTCCGTGTGATTATAAAGAAGTTAAGAAGATTATCGATAAGAAAGTATAACGCTTTCATTCCTTTCTTTTTTCTTTTTACTACTTCCACAGAAATCAAATAGTCAAATAATTATCTGGAGCCGAACGATTCAGTAAACTGAATTTTCCTGACAAAGTTCGATGAATCGCGAGCCAAATTTCAAAATTCCCCCTACTTCTTTCCCATCTACCATACAAGAAAAAGGATGCTGGGAATGCCTTAAAAGCCTGTGTCCTAACCTGGTGATTGGTCGATGCACTGGATCCGCCTGCTTCTTTTCACAAATTTCATGCTTACTGAATGCACAGATGAAAAAATCCACACAATTAACCTTTAAGCCCAGGAACAAAAAAAAAAGGATCCGAGCAATCAAAAGCCAAGGGTCCATAATTAATCTTAGAATTAACGAAAGTTGATGAAAAATTACTCAGGCAATCCCCTCTTGTTAATGACGCAAGGATACGCTCGACCCTCCACTAGACTCTGATTTATCACGCTTAACGCTCTTCTATTGTTCCCCAACTTTCTGGTTCCCATTTCTGAATTAAAAAAAAGAGGAGTTAAATCAGATGTCAAATCTTCAAGCTTTTAGCATTTCAGCGTCAAAATACACGCAATCCCGAAAGGATTTACCTTGAAAATTTGTGGGTTTGATTAGGTTAGGATTGTTGTGATCGGAAATGACCATTGTGGAATTTGGTTGATAACCTGAACAATCACCCCCAAATCGACCCTAGAACAAATAGAACATTGAAAGCCACCACCTCCCCAGACAGTCACTTCTCTCACTGCCCTAAGGACTGAAACGGTGGGTATTTGTCTGCGAAGGCTACAAAAAAACCCTCTTTTATTTCAAATTCAACGGCTAGTGATTGATGACCGTTGGATCATAAGGCTTCCAAAAACACCTTTTACGCTTGTCTTAACAACGGTAATATAGTTGGCAGGGTCATGCGAAGGCACCAGTCCAGCAACAAGAGATTTCAAACTGAGTTTTTTAAAATAATAATAATAATAATAATTCAGTGATTGGTCCGTTCCTGAGAAGTCAAAGGCGCTCCGTTGCGCTTTCCCACACTTTATTCTTTCTCTCTCTATTTTTTTTTTTTATTTGAAAGCTAGGGTTTGGGAGAAAAAAGGAAAGAGAGGATAAAAATCGATCAATTGACGGTAGAGTTAATAGCAGAAAATGCTTGTCATAAAAATGGGAGGGTTAATAAATGCCTATTTGAAGGGTAACAAATCCAAAAGCCATTGCCCTTTTAGATTCGGTTGTGTTCATAAATCAAGGATCTCTCTCTGCATATTTAATCATTAAATTAATTATTGTACTAGCATATTTGGTTTATCAAATTTTAAATTGTTTCTTTTGTGACATTTGTTTTGAAATTATTTCCATTTTTGAATTAAATTGGATGAAGTGCATATCTGAGTGCAGAAAATCAAATGTTTATAACTGCTTTGCTTTCCTGTTTTTTTTTTTTTTGGGCTGTTTTTCATAGCAATGATTGAATTTAGAAACCTTTTTATAGATCCCTTAAGCATCATTTCAGATTCGATTCTTGAAAATATGTATGAAAAAAATATTATTTAAGAGAGGATAATCCATTAAATAATGTTCAAATTTCTTGAGAGATTAGTATCACGATTGCTAATTATGGAGACCTTGACAATCAAAAAAAGAAACCTTTTTATAGAGATTGAATTTTTCAAGTCTTCCTAATTTATAATTTTTTCTTTTTTGTGTTAAAAAAAATATCCTTTCTTAGTTTTCTACATATACCATTTTAAATCCTCTTAATTGTTAATAAATTTAAGACGTGATTCTTTTCTCTTTTTTTACAAATGTAATTTTTTGTTGCCAGCGCATTATTTAATCATAATCAACATTAGCATCATCATCAATATGTGAAAATAAAACTTTAACAATAGTAATTTACTATATATATATATATATATATATATATTCATTTGCCAACAACAATTTTACTAGTAAAACAACAGGGAAACGAGTGCTTTGCTCATGTAAGTGTATGTTTGGATAAGCATGTTAATCGATTTTTTTGAGGAAAAAAAAATCAATTTTTGCTTCAATTACCCAAAAATCCACTTTTTTAGTTAATCGATTTTTGGGAGGGGAGGAGGAAATTGATTTTTTCTAGCAGCTCTGAGTCTGAGCTTTTGCGGAAAAGCCATCAAAGAGGGTTAGAAAAAATTATAAAGAAAAGCTTAAGAAAAAATTATAAAGAAAGCACATAATTTAATAAAAATAAAATTAAATTTTTTTTCTCTCTTTTTTAATAAAATTTAAATTTTATATCCTCAAAAAAGTTACTAGCATAAGTTTCTATTAATCATCATCCTTCACTATAAAACTAATTCAAATAAAATATTAATTAGTAGAGAAAAATTTATTTAAAATTTAGAGTCCTGAAAAAGATTGTTGCAAAGGTCCAAAGAGGGATTTTGCATTATTTGTGACATTGCTATAATTTCTATGTTGTCAAAATTTTAAAGCAATGCTTAACATCTTCGTCGAATATGGCTCATATCTATAATGTCATTAGAGATCAATTTATATATTATCATCTTCATTAGTAATTATAAAATTAACATTTGGTATTTAAGAATTAAATCTTTCTCTTTATTAAATTTATTTGAACTAAGATATATTGATTTATTTATTTACATAAATTAAATTGTTAATATTAATATAATTTAAATTTTTATAATTAATCATATATGTAATTTAAATAAAATTTAAAAAATTTAATAATATTAGATAAAAATATATTAATAATTTAATTTTAAAAAGTAATGTCCTTTATAGTAATTTAAAAATTTAAAATTAATTTTAATTAAATTATTCAAACATCTTCAATTCTGTTAAAATCAATTTTAGAAAAATGATATTCAAACAAATTACATTATAACATAATTAATTATGATTAAAATCTGTTATTTAATCAATTATTTTCATAATCTATTATACCTAACTGAAATCCAAACAGGCACTTAGATGATAGAACTTTTGCGTTGTGTAAAATCAATCTCAACATTTTATATGTTTGAATAAATGGTATTAGTTTAATACGAGCTTGTCAAAGTGTGAATGAGTTTTAATTTTGTGAATGCAATAAACCCTTCTTGATCCGATGAATGCCTAGCCAAAGATCCGACAAAATCTAATGAGAACCATCTCACTTTAGTGCACCAAAAAGAGTGAAAGAGACTTTGACCTTTACCCCTCGATATCCATCTTTGTCATAAGCCTCAGGTTATCCAAAGAACATGATTGACTGTGGAAGTGTATAGGATCTAACGACAATCCAAGAAGGATCCAATGAGACTCGATCGAAAACCCTACCTTCTGTTAATTTTGCTACCAAAAATGAAAGCTGGGCAACCGATCTATCAATTGTGTTGGTTTGTGGTGTCATTTGTTATGTGAATAAGTCTACTCATATTATTACATTTATTCCTTGTAATAGATATACTTCTAGCATAAATCAGGTTTTAGAATTGCGTCTACTAGAATTGTCTCTATGAATTTTGGTTTGAATACTCTAGTTATGGACTGTCTTGCTTGGTTAATTGGTTTCTCTTGCTAAGAATGTTCGCTGGAAGTTTTTGCTTTTACTATATTTATTGATCTGTTAAGGAGTTAAGGGTCATTTTTGTCCTTTAACTATATCCAAAGGTCACTAGAGATCCTAAAGTGAACCGTGGGTTAATTCTATCCCTTGATCTAAGAAATTCAATCCATTATTACCTTGCCGTTAACATCTGTTTATATTCAGTAGGTCTTACCAATTTTTTTTTATTATAAAATATTCAAGTAGGTCTCACAAGTCATTTTTAATTTTTTCCACTCTCTCCCCCATCTGTCTCCTTCTCTCCTCCTCCTTTCTTTCCCCTTCATTCACTCTCTCTCCTATATTACCATAAGGACATCAAGTATGATTCTTTCAACGAATCTGGCCGGAGCTCCAGAGCTTCTCTGATTTGAATTTAGACCTAGTTCCACAACACTGGAAAGGGGTTTGCGAGGCTAGAGTCCAATTTATTGCAAGAAACTGCAAACAAGAAACTAATTGGTGTGAGATATTTCTCCAAAGGTCATAAAGTGGGTGCGAGCTCTCCAAGTCCGATAAACCTAATCAATGACACTGTTGAAATTTGATCGCTAAGAGATGTTGGAATCGCTCAATTCATGAGCATTGGTGGTTCAAAGATAAAGTTCAAGGGTTTAGAGACCTAGGTTGAAGAAGATAGCAAAGCTTATACCACTTTAAGTTTGAAGAAGATGGGTCACACAAGTATTTGGTCCAGGTTTTTGCAGGTATTTTACAAAGGTCCTAAAAATATGATCCACGTGCCTATAATCTGCACCCCATTGAAAATGAATTTAATAAAAGTGTTGTTAGACCTTCTTTAGATATGGGTTGGGCTTCACGTGTAAGCAAATTGGAGCAAATTCATAATAGGCTTAACCACAACACTGCTAGACATTATGTTGTTTGGGCTTCTCAAGTATATATAAGCCTAAAAGCCCTTGTTTGGGATTGGGTCATGAAGATGGAGCTATGGGGTATTCTTTGACTTCAACAATGGGTCTCTCACAAGTCTACGTGGCTTTTTATAATGGGCTTTTGGATTGAAGGATCATTACAGAAAATTTGGGCTTTTGATGTCCATTAAGTTTGTTTGATTTTCAAATTATTTTCTTTTACAAGTTTTAACAACTTAAGATTATAAAAAAAATAGAGAGAGAAGTCTTATTTTATATATATGTTTTACTTTTTACTTTTGTATTGATCCTTGAGGACAAGGATCTCTTGTTAGGGGAGGTATATTGATATGTGGGAATTGGGAATAACAATGGTACTTAGGAAAATTAGAAATATAAGGGTAATTTGAATATTTAGATATATTCTTTATAAATAGGTCTCTAGGTTGTAATGGGTCATTGTGAATGGTATTAATCTTTCTCTTCCTCTCTATTTCCCTTCTGCCTCCTCTCTCTCTCTCTCCCCTTCTTTCTCTTCTACCTCTATCAAATAAAAATTTGGAGCATAGCCCCTTACAAATTTAGTTAGAATATGATATTCCTTCTTTTTCCAATAAAAACTCCTCTCAATAAATATCTAAACTTTTCAGTGCGATATATCCAAAGTAGAGGAAAAAATATACTGGTCCATGATTCAAAATTCTAAATTATATGCAAGTGACAATTTAAAACAACATATAAGATTTGTTTTAGATAACAATAACATTTTAGAGAAAATTTTTAAAATTCCACATTGCCAAAAATCACTATTTATTAGCTGGTTGAAGTTGGCTTGGCTTCTCGTTTTTTAAAGTAGAAGAGTGAATTGGGATATATTATCAATCATTGAATTTTCACTATCTTCACATCTCTTGGTAATATCATTAAATCGTTGTTCATTTGTTCATAATCTGTGATTTATTGTCATTTATCATAAATTTATTTGAATTATTAAAACATATATTATTCTCTCATTGTTGATAATTTTTTATTTTATTCTTTTAGGCATTTAATTTTCTATTATAAGCTAAGTTGTTCAAAATTTTCTATGAATTATGTTTGATCTATTTTGGGAATATAATTATGGTATTTTTATGTTTTTGATTCACGAAAGTATATCATTGATATACTACTGCATATCACTAATAAAATATACTAGTAATAACTTATCAACATTATTTAATTTTATAGATATAGGGGTGCTTAATCTCGTCATTTCTTATGATGGTAAATGGGATTCAAACAATCATTATGTGAATAGTTTATACCTTAAAGTTCATGTGGATGATACAACTTTATATCTTAATATCA